CCAATAACTTAACTTTAATGTTAAAAATTTATGTATCAATTATATAAATATTTTATATTTGGAAACATTATGGGTACCATAAAACGGTTAAACAATTTTGCTTTATAAACTGAAGTTAACGCAGTACATGTAATTTGCGAAATGGCAACGAACGTTTAAAAGATTGCAATTATATATGAAATGTTATTAAAATGATAGCACTACAAAGCAACATTTAGTTACAAAATTAGTTTTGAATATATAGTTAAAACTTCAATTACTTTAGTGCTGTTTGAGAGCATTCTAATGCTGCAGAAATAGTACTTAAAAAACAATATTAAACAAACTATGAAACTAATACGGTAATCACATTAATTATTATCTAATGCTCTCAATTGATATATTAAAATATTATAGCAGATCAAAGTGTGTTATACCTGGATCTGCTATACTAGAACTCCATAAACAAGTGGATAGACAAAACATAATATCCTTATAAGAAATAGCAAGAACTGTAGAACATCAAAACCAATTAAATGCATTTATCACTGATGTGTTTAAAAAAGTAAGCAGGCATAAAACAGTTAAAAGAATGTCCATGTAAAGATATAAATTAAGATTAATTAAAAAAAGTTACATAGATCCAACTCCTATCATATTTTACAGATTTAACAAATTAATGAATATTCAGTATCAAGGTGAAATAATTGAGAGATAATTCGCAAAAAAAAATAAAAAAAATATACAATAATAGTATCTATACTAACCGAAGTATGAGATGTCAATGAAAAGTCTACCTGAAAAAACCTGCAATTATAAACTTTATTACTTCGTAAGCCTATCTCATCACTCTGAATCCATGTCATTTGAATTCAAATCTGAATTCAGCTGCAAAAAATATTCCATGTATTTTGGAAAAACCAGTACCAATATTTTCACAAAAAAAAATATTAGATTGAAATTTTTATATGTCCTAGAAGAATAGAAATCTATTTCCAATAAAATAGGGAATAATAGAGAAGTTTTCAAATAAATCATTTAATTTTCTAATTCAGTAAATTTTTGAACTAATCATAAATAATACATTAAAAGTGTTAAGTATTTCGAACTGGTAGTGCTAATAACGCAGGCCAGTAAGACGGATAGTTAAGAATCACTAATCCTATTTAAATATATGTAAGTAACGAATTCGTTTTTGAACCATTTTTGGTCACAATACCTCATATAATATATAAAAATAATGTATAAATTTTTAAGTCCTAACTTTCTTTTATAACAATTACTACACCCTCTCTTCGTCTCTTTTTCACAATTTACTTGACTAAATTTAATTGAAAATTTATTTGCAATCAGTGAGCAGAGATAGGTTTCTTATGCGTATATGTGGCATCAGGTTGAATCCAGAATTTATAAATAAACAAGTAAATCGGTGAATAAAAACAATTTCATATTTATTTTTGTACAATTCATGCTCTCATGTCTGCAGCAATTGCATCTTTTCAGCACACCATACTGCGTCTTCTCGTAACTCTGTGGGGCATGAATCATTTTTAGTGCAGTTGTGATTCTGCAACTATTTTTACTGAATTTCAGAAATACATTTTATGTTTACGCAAAAATTGTGTGCGTGGCATGACCTAAGCGGTACAAAAACAGCTTCTGCAACGGGAGCACATAGCACATTCTCATCTTATTCAATTGCACTTTTTTTTGCATAATTTAAAAATAGTTTTTTTCAATCTGCAACGTTGTCTCGTGCAAAACTTTGAAAGGAAATAAACACTATACAAAATGATTTAAAAAATCCAACACAATTACTCGATTTCCACGCTAACTACGACAGAAAGTGAAATCACAAGTTCCTATCTATTATCTGTAATTTTGAGATAAATTTTGTGACTTTGAGAAAAAGTCTGGTAGAAAGTGGGAGACTTAAAAGTAGTTAATTAATTAAGTTAAAATTCGTCACAATTTTTGTTGCCATTGTAGTCAGTGATAGGGTACTATTATTTTTGGAGAGCCTAAAAAGTGGATACCACAGTTGGCATAACATTTTAAAATGATTTGAACAGTAAAAAGTGAAAATAGTTTGCTTTGGAATGAAGTTAAAAAAAATTGTAAAGATAAGAGAAATTATAGGAAAAGGGATTCCCTTCCCTTTTAGATGGATTTCCTATAAAACTTTGTTTAGGTTATACATTTATATATACGACACTATTAACAAAATATCCGTTTAAAATTTTAAATTATAAATAGTTTTCATAGATTATTTTTGTTAGTAAACAATTCTGTAATGAGTATTACAACCCAAGAACAATTTTATCACATTATATTTTTAAAACCAGTGTAATATCAGACTTTAAAACAAATCTGACCATTTTGGAAATGATCCGTTTAATTTTAAGTGATGAAAGCCTTCTTGACAATTAGTCAATTAATTTTTTTTACTTAATTAATTTTTTTTAACAAAATTAATATATATAATTGTAGGTACATTTTATTGTTCTTTAGACGCAAAAAGCATCATTGGAGCTAACTTTTTTATAATACAGTCAAATTTTTCTATAACTCGAACCAAAAACAATGCACCAAGGTTTTAGAGAGCAAATTACATAAAATTCTACTTCCATAACTCGAACTTCTATAGCTCGAATTTCTCTATAACTCGAACAAAAATTTTGTTCCGTGCCGATAGGAATATGAGACACTGCATTCTATAAGTCGAATTTTTTGTTTTAAATATGAATCCATTTTGGTGTTAGCGTAAGTCCCTTTTCCCAAACCAAATGATTAATTTTGTCTTTCTTATGTTGCTGCTTTGTGCAAATACCAATAGCTGGCAACGTAGTTTAAAGTAAATAAAATATCATACAATGCTACTCTTACAGATTATATTGAGCTTGACAATAAAATTTTTAGAACAAGCTTTCCAAGAACGGCCGGGTTCTACGTCCCGGAGCCACTTGTCGAAGACGATCCCGGCGATATTATTGCGCATTATAGCTCAATAGGAAAGTATAGGAAAGTGATAATGAGGATTCAGTAGATGAAATTGTTCATCAACCTTCCAAGAATGAAGTAGAAGACTTTCAGAATTCTGAATTTTTATTTACAAACAAATGATACTTCAACTGATGAAATAAATTGGAATCTCTTTTTACTAAAAATAAGAAAAAGTAATTAAAATCCCAAACCCTAATTTTTGATTATTTTACTTTACTGTAACTTCTGTGCTGTATTTGAATTCAAATAAATAAATAAAAATCTTATAATTTAATTCTTGTCGAACGTTTTCTTTGCAAAATGGTACTTCGGATTATGTATTTTAAATAATTCAATCAACCTTAAAAATAATTTATTTTTAAGTCACATTTGTATAAGCTTTTATTATTACTATGGAGTTCATATTATTGTAATAATTTTAAAATTAAATTTTTTTTTCTTAAAATAAACACCATTCCATACAAGAATGCTAACTTTATTTTTAAATTTTAATGAAATATTAAGGAAATTTGTTTGGTATGCCATATTTAAAAAAAACCATTTTTGTTTTATTTCTTTATTATTTACGGGATTTTCATAAAACCCATAACACAAGTTTCATAAAATGGTAAAAATCCCCGACATGCAACTAAATTTGTTAACAAAAATATAACTTTTTTATGGTTTAAAGCTTTAAAATGAGGTGCGAAAATATTTAAAATTTTATTAATAAAAATGGTTTTAACGCAAAGAATTTCAAAGTATATTCAAGAGTTTTTATTTTGTTTACATATTATAATATACCAAAATGTATTCGTTATATTAAAAACAAATTCCAAACATTAAGGAGCAATATTAAAATATCTCAAATAAACTGAGAAGAAAAAATCAGTTATACTAAACAATACTTTCATGATTATGATTATTTATATTAATTAAGGCTAATTATGTTAATAATTTTAATACTTATAAATTTAATTTTATTTATATTTATTTTATTATTTATATTTATAATTTAAAATTTATAAAGACTACATTGTTACAATTTTTTTTGTAGGTTTTGTTAGCCCTCTTCCTTAGAACGGGTTATAACAATATTAACAACGCTGATATATTGTCTAATGCGTCGCTAATACAAACATTAACTATAAAATAAAAACTAAAGCATATCTAATAAAAAACAAGTATTTTTAAATTCAATTCAAAACTGAAAATCCTTACAGCAAATATTAAATATGTTAAGTTATTTAATCAAATTTTAAAAGTTTACTAAACTTTTTTAAGTAAACAATATAAAAATAAATGTAATAAATATTTAATAAAAATAGTTAATAAGTAATATATATATTTTTTTTAATTTATTTATTAAAGTTTTTTGTTATTTTTTTTTAATATTACCAAAAATTAATTTTTTATGATTAGAAAATTAATCGAAAAGAGTATTTTGTGGCAATATAAAAAATTATGTTATTAACAGTGATATGTTGTTAACATTAATAATTTTAACAGCGTTCGTTAGCAAATAAAAAACGCTTGCATAATTTTAGGGCATTAAAATTAATGGAAATCCAAAAAATGACAGCACAAACTTATTGAAAATGTTTTCATATATTAATTGCACATTTATTATTGTTTATAGATATGGTAATATGTATTTCTAATAACAGAGTTTCTGTAAAACAGTATTTCAGAAACAATAAAAATTAGTCTATAGGATCTATTATCTATGATCTGATGTAACTAATTTATTCATTATAATTTAAGCACGATACCCATCGTACCTCGATGAGGAACCAAGGGTTCCGAGAATGGTCAGGTCTTCGTCGAGAAGCTATTCGTCAAGGTCTAAGACTAAGTACCATTCAGCAGTACCAAAATGCACTACACAGACAAAAAGACCACAAAATAATAGTAAAAAGATATAACCCAGTCTAAGATAGGAGACTGAAAATATATTACATATTACTGTCAGCTATAGCACATTCAGATATCTCTATATTTGACTATATAAAAACTAGATGTTTTATTTAGGAAAAGAGTTAAGGATTTATAATTGGTAACTATTCAAAATATTGAATTATATTGAGTTCTCAAAATATTGAGAAGTCAACACTGAAAATACCTCTCAAGTGATAAAAAAAAGGTATAGAGTTTGCAATAAAAAATTAGATTATGTTTGATTATAACATTAATAGTAAACTCAAAGCGTTTTTAAACTATCCATAGCTTATAATTAAACCTGAGATGATCTCACATAAACATTTTCTGTAGCTGACTATGATCCTATAGCAACTTAGTCTCTAACATATTAATCGATATTCGATAAAGTCGATATTGTGCTGATCAGTAATAAAGCAGAAGTGAAGTACTATCTGTATCTTCCTCGCATCTGCAACAAAACTCATTGAAAGAATGATTGAATCTTCTAGCAGCGACTCATTAGTGGCAGTGACATGTCAATGTCACTATAAGATTAATATCTTCATGTCGCATCTCAATGAGATTATTGTATTTTTTCTTATTTAACTCTTTGAATCTTAAATTCGTAATTAAAGCACTCAATAAGTAATAACAACCATCAATAATCCAAATTCTAACCCTTGTATTCGTCATCTAATTTACAGTACCCTGCAGGCCACAAAAAAAATACATAAGTTATTAGGTCTTAAAAATTGAAGTCTTATACTATTCATAAGCTAAAAAAAATTAACATTAACATCATAAACCAATATGAATAAAATAGAGACGTTACATTCTACATGGAGAACAAAATCCACTCTATTCTTCATTTTTGAGACTAAATCCTATGAAAAAATATGCATTTAAATTCAAATGCGAAACGAATTCCATTCCAATTTGCATTTTTTAGGACTAAATAATATCAAAGAATGCGCATTTAAATTCGTACATTGTATTAATTGTGTATAAGTAACAACACTCGAAAACACATTTAAGAACAACATACAATAATAATTTGTATTGAATATTCTATTTCAAAATATTCTATCTTAATATATATATGAATAAACTAACATATATAACAAAAATTAAAAACACTTACCGGAATTTTAGAAGTACGTAGAAATTCCAAAAGTGCTTCCAAAGAACCCAATGTAGATGCTTGTACGTAAACTCCAGTTTGAGCTAGTTTTATATGACTAAGTGCACTCTTAAGTTCTTTAGCAACTTCTTCCCTAAAAATATAAATAAATACAATTTTGAAGAAATAAATTAAAAAATATTAAAAACAAATAACTTACCTGCATATTTCTACTTCATCAGGTTTGTGTGCTATTAAAAGATTTATGCCAGCAATAGCTTTTTCTAATTCTTTAGCAGCAATTTTAACACCTTGAGCAGCCTTTACTTCTTTATGCTCGACATAAGCATTCTTCACACGCAATTCTTTCATTGGCTGTGGCATTAGCAATGATCGTATTTGAGTAACTATGGGACCATCCGTACCAGCTAAAATCATAGTTTGTCCCTCACGTAGTTTACCATTGATAAGTATTGCATCAATAGTTGTACCAAGACCAGGTATGGCCTTCACTTCAAGCACGATTGCTTGCAGTTCCTCAGAGTACATCAAACGTTTAGCCAACATCTTTTGACAAAATTCAACTATTAAAAATAGTAAATTACCCATACCTTCACCCGTTATAGCACTTGTGGGCACCAATGACACATAAGTCTTGGGATCTGGATTTTCATAGAAGAGCGCTGCATTTAAGCCCTATAAAAAAATGGGTAATTAATAAACAATTATATCCACATATATTTATTTTTATGCAAATATAAACGCACCTGTTCGGCAAATTGCAATATTACTTCCTTGGCACGTTGCTCGAATTCAAGCATTGTATTGGGTTGCTGTTCCTTTAATACATCACGTATATCACGTCGTGCCATCACTTTCCAATCATATAAACGATCAATTTTATTAAGTGCAACTATGAATGGACATTTTTTCTTTTTGAGCAAATTGATTGATTCAATAGTTTGTGGTTCTAGACCATGCATTATATCAACTACTAGAATTGCAATGTCACATAGAGACGAGCCGCGATTACGCAAATTACTAAAAGATTCATGCCCAGGTGTGTCAATAATTAATAGACCAGGCAATTTGTGCTCAAATTCAGCTCCATTACGTACAATTTTTGACTGTTCTTTTATTGCATCAATAGGTACATTCGTAGCGCCTATTTGTTGTGTTATACCACCGGCTTCTGAATCTTGTACATGTGTGCGTCGCAGTTTATCCAAAATTTTTGTTTTACCAGTATCGACATGTCCTAACACACAAACAACGGCGGCTCTTAGATCGTCTGTTGTTCGTTGCTTTTCAGCATCTTCTTGTCGTTTAATGATACGTGCTTCAGCACGTAAACGTCTGGCTTCTGGATCATTGGGATTAAATGCGTCTTCTTCTTCCTTTTCAGATTCACTTTCATCGTCAGATTCACTCTCTGAGTCTTCATCTTCAGAATCAGCTTCTTCTTCATCTGCACCTTCTTGCGCGTCTTCATTTGATTTTTCCTCATTATTACTAGTAGCTTGAGATTGTTCTTCATCGCCATTAACATCACCCTCGCTATCACTTACATCCCATGATTCTTTAACAATCTCTACTTTTTCTTCTTCCTTTTGCGATTCGGTAGCAGTATTTATATCTTCTTCCGTTTTTGCTGTCGTATCAGTTTGCTCTTCTTTATTACCTGGTCCCTTCTTTTTTGGACGTATACGTGTACCTATATATTTAAAAGAACTAATATAAGCGTTTATTTTTTTATTAATTATTAACTTACCAGGTCTAGCAGGTCTTTTCTCTGCGGGATCTGGTATTTCGAGCCCTTGTGCTTTGAGTGCGTCCAACATAGCCTGCGCACGCGCGCGTTCCTCTTTTTGTTTTTTGGTAAGAAGTTTACCTTCAGCTTTCAGACGTGCTTTACGCTCAGCTTCTTTTTGCTTTTTTTTCTCTTTTCTCTCCGCTTCTAAACGTATCGCTTCCAACCGCAAACGTTCACGCTCGTCTTCTTGTCTTATGCGCTCTTCTTCTAATTGCCTTTGACGTTCTTCTTCCTCTTTAATTTTTTTTAAGCGTTCCTGCATAGCAGCCACCATTGCCGCTGATACACCTTTCTTCTTACTATCCTTTTTGCTCTCCTCTTCCTCAGCCTTCTTATCTTTTTTGGACTTTTTTTTATTTTTGGCTGCAGCCTTACTACCGTCCTCATCTTGAGTGATTGGCGTTTCAGTTTCATCAGCTTTTTGAGCTTCGGTATCGTTTTCATTACTGACTGACATTACTGGCACATCTTCAATTTGCTCCTCTACAATTTTATCTTCCGCCACAGCAGGTGGTTGGTGTTGTTTTGGCTCCTGGGCGGCACGTTGTTTCGCCAAAGCAGCTTCACGTTTTTGTCGTTCCTTTTTCTCCTTTTTCTTTTGTGCAGCTGTTTTTACAGTGCCACCTTCATTTTCACCAGCATCCTCATCATTTAATTCATCAGCTGCTAAATCCTCTGTAGTTTGCTGCTTTACTTTTTGTGCTTTTTTATTCTTCTTTTTATTAAATTCCTCATCAGCCCAATCATCGGGAGATACAACCGCTGCTGGAGTTGATTCCGGCTTTTCGTCAGCATATTCCGCTTGTAGTTCAGCTAATACTTTATCTAAATCTTCATCATCATCGTCTTTACCTTTTCGTTTAGCTTTTTTTCCTTTTTTATTTGTATTTTTATTTTTCTTATCATTCGTTTTAGTTTCTTCTTCAGTATCATCATGATCGCTTTCTTGCACTTGAGGTTCCAAATCATTATCATCGTCATCGTCGTCGTCCATTAAAAGCTCAAATGCAGATTTCTGCGGAGCGGCTTTTTTTTTACCTTTCTTATTTTTTCCCTTAGTTGTTAAATCTTCATCGCCATTATCATCTTCCGACTTTTCAGAAAGCTCCTCTTTATTCTTTTGAGCTTGCTTTCCTTTAGTTTTAGTTTTTAAATCCATATTTTTTACTGCTGACGTTATACTTCCCACTTCACCTTCTGCATCATCAATTGAGTCTTTTCTATTTTTTTTACTCTTTTTCGACTGCTTCTGTTGGTTCTTCTTATTTTTGCTGCTCACATTATCCTGGTCAGTGTCAGACTCCAAAATCGTTTGTGCTTCCGTTTCACTGCATATATGAAAAAATATATTATCATATGAATATATATATATAATGTAAATTTTATACAACAAAAAATTATTTTGCTACAGTCAAGTGAAAGTTTGCCAACTGACAACTCAGCAGTTTCCAAATGTAGAAATGCACCCAAATCACAGCTGTGATGTAGCAAGTGTAAAACATATTACTAACTTTTCATCACCAGATGAGGCTGCTCCTGCCACATTGGTTACTATCTCTTTCTTGCCCTTTTTAGTTTTAACCATTTTCTTTCGCCTAATTTCAACACGTTTGTTTGGCACTTAACGAAAACTTGCAACAAATTCACAATTGTTCGTTTATATTTTGTACTTAAAACTTGTATATGCGATTTTAATAATTTCCAATAATAAATGTACACAATTTTCCTGTGAAGTATATGCAATTGGTATCACAACAACAATTTTTGGTCGCACACCAGACAGCTCTCTGTTTTCCGTCTGTGCTTTTGCCACATTCGTATGCAATTTTTTTGTATTGTTGAGGTTATGACAAACGTCATATGTTTATTTGTTGTTGTTTCTGTGCGAACAATCGGTAAAATCATGGAAAACAGAGATGCTTTTTCATATAAAAATATTTCCTTAATTTATGATGAAAACTGTAGCTGCCATATTATAATCATGTACTAATTTTTATATAGCATATCAAAATGTTAACATAATATTTGTAGTTCAATGCAAAATAAAATTTATAAGAAAAGTATTTCAATAAAAACCTATACATTTATATTATATTAACAAATGTTAGAAATAATACAATGAGAAAAGCATTTTTATGAAAACATATACATATATGTCTTCTGAATAGGGAGTAGAAATAACAGGACTATGAAAATGTGTGACGTTATACTAATAATAAAAAAATTTAATTTCATATTATTTATATATGTATATTTATATTTGAATATCTTATGGCCATGTTATGCAGAGTGTCTCGGGCACGGCATAAGTACAATTGTTGTTGTTTTCAATGCAAATTTTAAATTTGAGAATGAGAAAAAAAAATATGGCCGTTCAAACTCCGGCATGAGAGCCGGCGTATTTGTGCCCCGGCACTAAGGCAAAATAGTGTTTTTTATAACAAATTTCAAAATTTGCGCCTTTTACTACAAATCTAATACATTTTGGAGAAAAAATGACAGTAAGCAAGACAGCCTTTTTTTATAAATCGCTAATAATATAATTATTACACTTTCCAGTTTTAAAAGAAGGCGCAAATACTGTTAAGTACTGTTAACAATTATTGTAAGATAATGTAATAATAAATTAACATTATTACAGCCTCTATGAGTTTTTTCTTGCTAGTTATTTTTGGTAGTAAATTGAAAGTGAGCATATCTAAATTTCCTTTTAAATTTAAACAATAAAAAATTGACAATACTAATGTGACACTACATGACATGCATTTTCGGCATAGCCCGAAAGAACGACTTTTGCCGTGCCCTAGACACTCTGCATAACATGTCCCTAAGCATGTATATGTATTTAGCAAAAAAAAAAAAACACTACTATATCTATTAAAAATGTAAAAAAATCTATTCATAAATGGATTGACATGTAAAATATATAAAATTTGTTAATTTTGCAGGAAAGCAGTAACATATCGGTACATGTAGTCCCAACTATAGTGTTGTAAAATGCTGAAAAGGGATTTGAGTAAATCTCCCTTATCATATATAGTTCACAACTTCAATCAGTTTGTATTGTATTCTAATTTTATTATTTTTTAAAAAATGTATAAAATGTATGTAACAAATTATTGTAAAATATTAATATATAATATATATATATAAAATTATAATAAATAAATAAAAAAACCTGATAAAGTTGATAAATATACAAAAACTCGAATAACCAATATATATATGCAAAAATATTAAAAAAATATAAAAGGTATTCAGAATGTCTGTGCATCGTTAAATGAGCATCATTGCAAACTCAAATAATTGCAAAACAAATACGCATTTTGTGCATATATGTTTTACAAATATTTAGAACAGTTGATTTTTGTTTTTGTATATATTTACGTGTAAAATATAACTCAGATGGATTTTGCTGTTGCAGAATGAATGGATAATTTAGATTCATGCATTCATATGTATAATGTAGCAATTTATTGGACATAAAAAAATACAAAATCAAACAATTTTCAACAAAACTTGATATTTTCGCTAAAGTAAAAAAAAGTAAAAAAAGTAGTATCATTCACAATAGAGTCTTGAAAACCACATATGCAAGAGCTAATTAGTATTGAAAATATGGTCTTGAATATTGTCTTACAAATCAAGTGAAAATCATAAGAAAGGGAATTGTTTTTGTAAAATCAAATAATTTTGCACATGTAACGATGCACAGACATTCTGCATACCCCTAAATATTAATTCATAAAATAATTTTAATTTGTAAATAAAGAAATTTTGTGAATGCGGCATTATTCAATATTTTACAAATTCGATGTCAACAAATATTAATATTTTAATGACAAAAACAAAAAACAAAATGTGTATAACCTTATACCACATTTACACTGTCTTATTTAGATGTTTTTGCTCATTACAACCATTAATTAGGATGATTTACCATACAAAAATATTTCATAAAAATTAACTCATTATCAATAAATCAGCTCATTTAAGGCGAAACATGTCGAAAGTAACCCTTAAAATAAATTTCCCAACAGAGAAATTACCAAAATTTAAAATATTTGTTATATGTGTTACATGTAAAATGTAAATAAACAACAGCTGAGCTGTAAACAAACGTACTGAGAAAACAAGTTTTTAATAAAATCTTTGTTTTTATTAAATGAATATGTAGTGTAACAAATATGTAATATATATATATAAATTATTTAATATATCGTTTATATATTAATTTCTTGATTGTTGAGTGAAATTTTTCAATACAAACAGAATGGAAATATGAAAAATTACACATGGAAATTTATTTAAAACTTAGAAGGGTTCCAATAAAAATAAAAACGCGTCGCTTTTGGCAAAAAAATTAACATTAAAAAATTAATATCGTTATATTTTAAAAATTGTTATAAAATATATCTATAATACAACTAATTTGCCACGTTTTGGCAATTGATAAATAGGAGTAATAATAGGCAATACTGTGTGACAGCAAGTATCGTCGCACCAAGAATTAATGTTCCTAATGATGTGTATATCTTCTTTAACTTATTTTAAATCATTTACAACACTGGAATTTTTAACTTTTCATAAGAGTCAAGCATTCGGTTGAAGTCTTCATTTGTTATTCGGCATTGTTAGCCGGTGGTTGCGTTTTTTTAACGGAAGGTGTTGTGTGAAGCTGTAATAAGTGATACGCAAATATTAAAAAAAGTTACGCGCTCAACAAATTTTTGCAATTAACGCTATTCGGATTTTATGCAGTTCACTTTTTGTGAAGTGTAGTGGTTATAAATAATGTCGAATGAGCAAAACGAAGAATTACCAACTTCGTCTGCTAATACTGAAGTAAGATTTTTAAATTTTTATTAAATTTGATAATATTCATTTTGTATAATAAATACAGGGAAAAATTATTGATACTACATCAGATCGCACATTTGCTAAATATCGTTCACTTATAATATCCGAGTGTGGTTTTAAAATAACCACGACGGAAAGTTATTTGAAGCGTCTTCAAAATTTACGCAAAGAATTGACTTACATTAACGAGACAGATTGGATGTTTGAGCCTTTGGACAAAAAACCGTCTCAATAAAAATAAATTGCTTTTTATAAACAAATTCAAATTCAACAACTAAAACAAAATGTTTACAATACTCAAGAAAATTTGGGATTCTTTCGAACCCGCAGATAATGCACGGGACAATTTTAATAGGCAAACTGAACAGCTTGAAACTATAATTTACAAACAAGAGTGTCAAAATATTGTCAAGCCATTATATGAAGCCCAAGATGAAAAAAAAATCGAAAAGAGTGATTATTACAATGGTACCGGTAAGTATTTTATTACTATGATAAAAGTTTTAAAATTTTTTTGTGATTTAAAAAAAAGTGCTGACAAGTAAAAAATAAACTGACAGCCATGTTGCTCGAATACTTCTAGAACGTAAATTTAAACTCAAAACGTTTATATCATTTTATTTGCTAATTAATAACAATAATAATTTTGTAACTCATAATTATTTTAAATGAATTTTTTTAGTGTATTTATATTTCTGTGAAAGAACTAATTTTATTTAGAAAAACAATGTTATGTTCAACGCAATATTAAGTAACATTCGGTAGATATAGTAGGTGTGTTCTACAAGCTAGTCATAGTAAAACAAAAGTAAAATTTACACGAAAACACTCGAAAATTTGCTGGTGGAACGCACTTGTGTATAGACAGTGTTACTCAAAGTTACTATGAGTAGGTCGTGGAACAGACCTAGTATTTGCATACTCTTAATACAAGTTGCTGTCTATACTAGTTGACCCAGCGCAATGTAAAGTTGCTGCCTACAGTGGTTGGCCGACTCGCGCTAGAAGTTGCTAGATCCAATTATTGATTCCCTCGCAATATAGAGTCGCTGGCTATAGTAGCGCAGCAATTTAAAATATTTTTCATATAAACAAAAAAATGGTTTCGTTTGTATTTGAAAAATTGAATATTGAAATAAATTTATTTCAATAAAATATATATTCATTGGTTATATACACATTTTTTCTAATTGTTGATTATAAATATTTCTCTTATAGGTATTATCACTTTGTTGAAAGATGATCATGGGATCCTAGATAATAATATTATTTTTGATACATCCGTTGGAGGTGGTTTGGGTTGTGAACTTCGAGTTGGATCCCGTGTGCGTTATATGGCGTACAAAGATGAGGAAGGGCCGGTTAAAGTTTTTAAAATAACAGAAGTTTTGGAAAATTGCTGGGATGAGTCTGGAAATATAGATGAAGAAACTGTAAGTAGTATTAAAAAGTATTGTTTTTAATTTTATATTTAAACAAGCTTAAATATTGCAGCTCAGGAAGCAGGTTGATCAACTTAAATTAGAGAAACCAGATTATTTCGCAGTACATCAACGCAATATTTTGGGTTTGATAGTGGAACGTGCACCAGATTCTATCGTTGTTGATACTGACTATAAAGTTATGACTATAACTTTGGAATCAGTTGAAATTAGTTTTGTGCCACAGGAAGGTGATCGTGTTCTTGTTCATTGTAACGTTCAAAACGACGATAAATTTTTGGACAAACAAGGGGAAATATTGGAAGAAATCGCTGTTCATCCAGCACGTTTATTAAAAAAACAACGCTGTACTGTAACCAAAATAAAGGAAGGTTGGGCTGTCTTAAATAGAGATTGTTATTTAATCTTTGATGTATCTCCTGAAGCCTCTAAACTGCGTATCGGCGATTCTATTATAGCAGATATGGTAGAATGTGAAAGGGTAAGCAATAATTAAATCATATTAATAATTCATGTTCAACCATTATATGTTTTATTTTTATTAAAATTTAATTTTAGAGCACTGTTTTCTAAGCACTCATTTTATTCATACTATATATTAAATTTAAAAACATTTCTCTCTTTCTCACGCTCTTTTTTTAAACTTTTTTTTTCTCATACTCCCTTTCTTATTCTCACTCCCTCTCTTTATATTACTCTCTCCATTTGTAATTCGTTCCTTTCTTTCATTATCATTCTTACTCTTTTTTACACTTCAACTTTCTTTATTTTCTCACTCCCTCTCTCTTTCTAACTCTCTCCCTTTGTAATTCTTTCCTTATTTTTACCTCCTTTTTCTCTCCCTCTCTCTTTTCCTTTATCTCTTTTTCTCTCTCTTCTCTATTTTTTCTCTTTCCCTCTCTATTTTTTCTTTCTCCCTCTCTATTTTTTCTTTCTCCCTCTCTCTATTTTCTCTCCCTCTCTCTCTCTCTCTCTCTATTTTTTCTCCCTCTCTCTCTCTCTCTATTTTTTCTCCCTCTCTCTCTCTCTCTATTTTTTCTCCCTCTCTTTCTCTAATTTTTATCATTCCCTCTCTTTTTTTCTGCCCCTCCCTCTTTTTTCTCCCCCTCTCTGTTTTTCTCTCTCCCGCTATCCTTTTTGCTTTCTCTTTCTTCCTTTATCCCTTCACTCTCTCGCTCTCTCTTCATATATCCTTTCACTATTTCTTTTCTGTCTCTCTACATCTCTTTACTTATTTCCCTCTCGCTATTTCTTTTAATCCTACTCTTTAAAATTGTTATTGAAATATTGTTTTTCTTTTTTAGGGCAATTTCGTGTGGCGGTGTATTAAATTTGAAACTGAAGATATGGCTTACAGCGATACGAAAGCCTTTGAAAAGTCAATGGAATCACAAGTTGTAAAAGTATCAAGTGATGTGCGTCATGTATTCTCAGGTTTACACCAAAAAGTGACTGTAGAATTTACAATTGAAAACAACACAGATGAAGTACTAAAAGTGTTGGCTATAGAATTCTTTGGTAAAAGACAAATCCAAATAAAACTTATTGATAAAGACTTGTGTAAAGGATTCGACATAAAATCGCGTAGTAGTGTACCATTGCGATTCGAATGTGAATCTTTGGTTTTTGGTAATTCACACGAATTCTTTTTAATTCAGTTTCATGGATTTCGTATTAAACGTTCCATTAATCTTACCGTATGTGGAAGTGAGGAAGAGGCAGCGGAATATCGACAACGTGTTCTTGAATTACCTGTACCAATGGCAAATGGACGCTCATCATCACATCGCTCACGATTTTATGCTCATTCGGTTTGGGGACGAAAATGTGAACTTGTTTCGGGTGTCGGTATAGGTCCCAAAAGACGGTTTATAAAGCATCGTATTCCGCCATATGACGTACCTAAACGATTGAAAGAGGCATATCTTACATCAAGGTCAAAAAACGATATGACCGATGGTGTTGAAACGTATTTTCCGAGTGTTAAAGAAGAACTGACAGCACGAAATTATGTAACTAAATTCCAAGTGCTATTGCATTTGGAAGAAATTGAATATTTTGTTACATTCCGCAATTATGATATGGAGCGTGCACATTTCACTCGTGTTGGAGAATATCTATCGTTAGTTATAGAAAATTTAGCTGAACGTCGTCCATCACTTGTACTTGGAGACACGGTACATGCTTCAAATCCTTGGGAGCTAGGTGAACCAACAGCGCGTACGTATGAAGGAAGCATTCATAAAGTCCTCTTCGATCGTATATACTTAAAATTTAATGCTTCCTTTCAAAACAACTATAACGGTGAAGATTACCGGCTAGAATTCTTTTTTTCTCGATATGGCTTTCGTAAGCAACATCATAGTATCGTTAAAGCAGTTACCCACTTGGGAGAAGACTTTCTATTTCCAACTCGTATTAAGACACGTCCAAATGCACAATTAGCAATTAACTTAAATGCAGATGATGATTTAATTTTGGAAGGTAAAAAACACGACTGGGTCAACAGCAAATTAAATAGCATACAGAAACGTGCGGTTTACAATATTTTACGTGGGGAGGCCTATAACATGCCATACATAATCTTTGGACCTCCTGGTACAGGCAAAACTGTAACACTCATTGAAACAATCATACAAATTATTAAGCTGATACCACATGCACGCATATTAGTAGGCACTCCATCTAACAGTTCAGCTGATATTATAGCAACGCGCTTAGTTGAAAGTAATGCGTTGGAACCTGGCGATTTTGTTCGATTGGTGTCACAGAACATAATTGAAAAGGAACTTATACCTGATGAACTGCTGCGTTATTGTGCCACCGCAGATATTGGCATAGATGGCACATGCGAGAGTGCGGTATATATAAATAGAAGAATTGCATTTTATTTAAGGTTTTTTAATATTTATGGTTTTTTGTTTTAGATGGTTACTACAGAAAGTGGATTAAAGTTGAGATGTCAGCAAAAATTTCTTGGACGCCATAAGATTACCGTTAGCACATGTACAACACTCGGTAATTTCATGCAAATGGATTTTGGCAATGATCATTTCACACATGTGATTATTGATGAAGCAGGCCAGTGTACTGAGCCTGAAGTTATGATTCCGATTGCCCAGATTTCCAAGGGTAAAGGACAGGTTATACTTGCTGGTGATCCAAATCAACTTCAACCAATTGTTATAAATCGTTTATCAAATGTTTCTGGTTTAGCGCGATCATTTCTGATACGTATATTAGCACACACGCCATATGTGCGTGATATAGCGCGATTTCCATCTACTTCGGGCTTTGATCCACGTTTAGTAACAAAGCTACTATACAGTTATCGTGCATTGCCATCTATACTTAATGTATACAACGAATTGTTTTATAATTCGGAACTTATACCTATGGTGCATGAAGTAGAATCAAGAGAAGCAAAGCTACTTAAGCTTGCCAGAAGTTCACTACCAGCTAATGCTAAGTTTCACCCGTCGCACGGCGCGTTTTTCTTTGGTTTACGAAGCGAAAATAAACAAGAAACTGACTCACCATCTTGGTTTAATCCATTGGAAGCAAAACAGGTAATTCATAAAAAAATATCACTTGAGTGTTTATTATGGTATGTAAATTTAAGTGTCGATTTGACATTAAATGATATTTATTTGAATTTCATGTAAAAATTTATTGTCAAACATCTTGAGAGTTACTTAAGACACTTCTCACTTACAAAATTTAAGAGTTACTTAACATAAGTCTGCATTGTAAAACTGGTCCTTAAATTTTTTATGGTTATTATTATATATTGACAACAAAACGAAAATTAAATCCCA